CCAGGTTAAGATTAAGTCATTTCTTTTCCATCACTATGTCGGGGGGAGAAAACATCTGGTTTGGATTTAGACAAGGATCATGGAGTGATTTGGTCCAACGAACCCTATTATATGAATGAAGAAACTGATTCCTAGAGAGGTTAGTGGACTTGCCCAAGGTCACACAGGTAACTTTTGACAATGACCAAGTTGAGTTCCAACCCAACTATTTGCACTGTACCACTTGCGTCAAGGGACTGTTATTACTTTATGTATTGATTCATGTTTGCTCATTTACTTAATTTGCTCAATAAAAAAAGAAAAACAAAACAAAACAAAACAAAAAAAAAAAAAACCAAAAAACTCAGTAACAATGGCAGGAGCTGACATTTATTTATCCGGTGCTTTAATTAAGGTTTGCAAAGTGCTTTGCCTCCATTATTTCATCTGACCCTGACAACAACCTCGTGCCGTGGGTTAACCCTACCCCTACAGAAATTATTATCCCTATTTTACAGATGAAAAAACTGAGGTTTAGGTAAGTTAAGTGACTTGCTCCAGAGTCTGGTAGCCAAGCCAAGGGAGTGGAATTCAACCCAGGAGGGAACCTGTTGTTCTGTCCCACTGTGGGTGAGTTATTAACTCTCCTTTTGAACTCCTTGGCAACCTCTTCAGTTAAGTCTATTGTTCTTTCTTAACTTACTTGGTGTTTGCTTTATTCAGCTGCCTTTGAACTAGGGGGTAAGAGTGTGCGAGGAATGAAAGGCTCTTACTTTCTTGACTGTATTTCAAAACCTCAGTCTAGGTGGGTCTCTCTGTGCCTTGGGGAGCCTCCTTTTTATTCAAGAGCTGGTGAGAGTGTTCTTTGGGAAAGTTGCTGGAGAGAAGGTGGTTAAAACAAATACTACTCCTGCCTCCCCTGTGGGGAAGGAGTTCTACCTGGAAAGGTCCTGATTTTAGTGCCTCAATTCAATTCAGCAAACAATTAAACTCCTACTTGCTAAGTACAAAGTAGTCTGGCAAATGCTGGGAATACTCAGAAAGATGAAAGTCATCCTGCCCTCAATGGGCTTACAGTCTATTTTTACAAGAAGTAGTCATGTACACAAATGGGTATAAACAGAGTATGTAAGAAAGCTACTTCAAGAGGGGAAAAAGTGAATAATTGTGTGTGAGAGAGATTGAGTCAGGCAAAGATTGATAGAATGAGAGACAGAGAAACTGAGAGAATGAGAATCACAGAGAGAGAGAGACAGAGACTGAAAGAATAAGAGAGTGAGAGACAGATTGAGAGGATGAGAGACAGAGAGATTGAGAGGGAAATTGAAAGAGAGAATGAGAGTGAGAGTCAAATAGACATTGAAAGAGAGAGAGATTGAGAGCAGAGAGTGTAGTGAGATTGAGAGACAGAGAGATTGAAAGAGAAAATGAGAAACAGAGAGATTGAAAGAAAGACTGAGTCAGAGATTGAGATAAAAAAATGAGTCAGATTGAGAGAGATAGAGGTTGATAGAATGAGAGAGACTGAGTCAGATAGAGATTGAGAGATAAGAGTTTGAAAGACAGAGAGACTGACAGAGATTGAGTCAGAGAGACTGAGAGATCAAGAGATAGCCGGATGGTTAGAGAGCCAGGGAGACAGAGATGATCTGGGAATATTCAAGACTTATGCTTGGAAGGGAGAAGTTTGGATGTTGCGTATTGGGAAGAGCTGGCAGGTCAGTTTGGCCAAAATGGAGGGGTGTGAAGGGGATTAAGATGAAAGCTGGAAGGGTAGGTGGGAGCCAGGATGTGGAAAGGCTTAAATGCCACCATGAACAGTTTATATTTTATCCTAGAGGCAATGGGAAGCTATTCATTTTGTTTTTGATTTCAACGTCCATTCAGGTGTCTTTTGTGTTGACATGATAGCCAAAATCTTCCTACTTCTTCCTTATGGCTATTTTATAAATAGGGAAACTGAGGAACGGAGAAGTCATGATATGTAACAGGTTGCCCCCAGCACAGCTCTGGTGGAGCCAGGATAGGCAGGGGTAGATATCTCAGGTTTTATGGTCTCAACTGCAGCTAGTCACAAACTAGCTCAGGGCTGGTGGTGGGAGTCTTTACCAAGAGTGAAAGGCTGGCCCTGAAGGTCCCTGGTGCTTATCTCTCCCTTCTCCCCAAAAGCTGACTCTTGATTTTTGGGAGAGCAGAAGAAGGCTCCCTGCTATAGCACAACCTTGCCACTTAGCTGGGCAGAACAGGGGACCAGGGCACTGGGTGAAGAGAGAAGATGGCAGCCATGTCTAGGGGCCTCTGGTTTCTGACTTTATTTCAGAGTCAAACCCAAACTATCTTTTAGCTGATCTCTCTCTCATGTTATTTATGCTACTTAGTAAGATCACACCCTTCTGAGGTGGCCAGCAGTGACTTTTGACACCCCCTTCGTCATATGCTTTGCTAAAAATGGAGGGAAACAATATCTACAGCATCCTCTTCGTCTACTGGTCTGGGAGCCTCGTTAGACAAGGGAGGGAGGTCCCCCTGGCTTGGTCCTTTCTTGGTGATGCCATGCTGGCTCCTTGTGATCTCCGAAACATTTCATGGATGCTTATTGATCAGCTCTTTAATAATATACTAGAATAAACAAACAAACAAACAAACAAAAACCAAATAATACACTAGAGAATTTTGCTTGGAGTCACAGGTAGGATCACTGACTTTTAATCTGCAGACATCATGCTTCCTTTTTGCAGACCAAGACATCTGCCGTTATCTAATCCTGTGGCATCTCTCCTGTTCTCCACGTCTTTCAAAGGCCACTGATAATGGCTCAGCAATCACATTTGCTAAGTGCATAGACAGACAGGTGACTTGGTGCTGGACTTGGAGTCAGGAAGACCTGAGTTCAAATCTCGTCTCAGATACTTATTAGCTATGTGACTCTGGGCAAGTCACTTAACCTCTGTTTGCTTCAGTTTCCTCATCTGGAAAGTGGGAATAATAATAGCACTTACCTTGCAGGTTGTTATGAGGATCAAAAGAGATAACACATATCCATTTCTTGTCAAACCTTGAAGAGGTTTGTAAATAGGAGCTTATTCACTAAGCGTCTGAGAATATAGCTCTTTTGGTCCTGATGACTTGAGTTCATCAACAACTTAGGTGTCCGCTTATTATCTCTTTGCTAATTGAGTACCAACTCCTTACCATTCATTCTCGTTCTATCCTGTCCAATCCCAAGATCACTGTCCTTGGCTGAGCAATCAGAATGAAAACAAGAGGTGATTGCTCTACCTTCCCTTCTCTCTGGTGACTGCCGTGACTCTCAAATCCCCCTGGCTGGTCCTCTCCCGGTCAGGTCCAATCTCTTAATTTTTCCATGTTATTAAGCAATTGGTTGCTCCGTATGTGTGTGGGGGCCTGTGGGGGAGGTAGAAGACGGAGAAGACGTGACCTTTGTACTGGGGAAACCCAGAGTTCAGTCGGGGACCAGAACTTAGAACAAGGAAAGAACAAGAAACCTTCACAAGAACCAGAGAATGGCAATGAGGTAGAATAAATAGTCACAGGCTACTGAGGGGGTGAGTTGTGGTTTATTATAATGTTAAGCTAATTATAACCTTTCTAAGCCTCAGTTTCTCCATCTGTAAAATGGGGCTAATACTGTTCCTGCCTTGTCCACAGGGCTGTTAAGAGAGTTAAATGAGATTGTGCCATTAAAATCTTTAAGTCATCTGAGCCTAGATTTAGATCTAAGTGGGCCCTTAGAGATCATCTGGTCCCATCCACTTTTTTTTTTTTTTTTTTTTTTACAAATGAGGAAATAAAAGCCTGAAAAGGTAAAATGATTTTTCAGGGTCATTCAGGTAGTAAGTGGTAGAATTAGGATTTGAACCCAGGTCTTCTGTCTCCCCGCCCACTTTCCATTGTGACCCATTGACTCTGTTTGGTGAAAGGAAACATTTACTAACAATGAGAGCTATCGAGATGGTATAGTGAATAGGGTGCTGGTCTTGGAGTCAAGGAAGACTTGGGTTTGAGCCTTCGCTTAGATGTTTATTAGCTGTGTGACCCTGGGCAAGTGACTTAACTAATGAACCTCAGTTTGCTTATGTGTAAAATGAATTAGTTGGACTCAGTAACCTCTAAGTTAACTTCCAGCTCTAAGATCTATGCTCCTATGAAATGGGCTCCCTTGGGAGATGGTGGATTTTCCCCTACTTAAGGTCTTTTAAATAAAAAAAATTTAAAATATTAACAAATACCTATTCTCTCTGTCACTCTGTCTCCCCCCCCCCACCTTCCTCTTCTCCAGTGGAAAAATAAAACCTTCTTGTTACAAATATGCATAGTGAAGCAAAACAAATTCTCACACTGGCCATGTCCAAAAATACATAGGTCTCATTTCTGCTCCCTGGGTTTATCACCCCTTGTTAAGAGCTTGGTCACAGGAAGCCTTTGAGAAAGGTCCTGATGACCATTTGTTGAGAATATTGAAGAGGGGATTCTTGGTCAGTTAAAGGCTAGACTAGAATCTTTTGAGGTTATGGGGTCTGTGATTCTGGGTCTGGGAAAGTTACACTTCCAGGGAATCGGGGCTGGGAAAGGACCATGGGATCATGGATTGACAGTTGGAAGGGATATCAGAGATGATCTTGTCCAATCTTGCCATTTTATAGATGAAAAGACCAAGGCCCAGAGAGGTGAGGCCATTTGTCCAAGATCACAACAGGAAGTAGTTTGGGCAGGTGGGACTTGCCTAGATGGACAGGCCATCGGGTGGGTTGATTGATGCTGTGATCGTGAGTGTGGTTTTGGGGATAAGGTTTTTCTGGCTGGAGGCTTTTGATGGAGCAGAGGCTTTAAGCTGGAGTCAGGAGGGAAGGGGGTAGACAAAAAGGGAACTGAATACTCTGACTGTGATTTTCATAAGCAAAAATTCTTGTTAAGTGATTATGAAAGGTTTGGTGGAAAATGCTGAGTGGGTTGTTTTTCCTGACCCTTTAGCAGCTAGCCTGGAGCTGTTGGCAGGGGATGTCTGGAAGATGGGGAGGGGAAGGCTGGGAAGGTCTTCTAATAACAATCTTCCAGCACCAGGAGGCGGCCCTGCAGACAGAACAAAGAAAATACCGGGACTTGAACGGTCTACTCCCAGGGATCCAGGTTAGACATCAGGAAAAACAGAGAGACAGTAAGGATTCAGATGGGGCGGGGTGGAGTAGGGAGAAGGAGTGATACCTCCTTCAATCCTGAGGTCTTTAAAAACTCAGTCTAAAATGATAGCATGAATTTATATGTGGCTCTAAGGTTTGTATCTATCTTTCTATCTATATATCTCTATCTGTTTAAAATATCATTTGATCCCCATGGCAGCCATATGAAATAGGAACTATTATTAATTTAACAGTTGAGAAAACTGAGGCAAATAGAGATTAAGTGACTTGTTCAGGGTGACCCAACTAGTAAGAGTCTCAGACAGGCATGAGTAGCTTGATTGCATATCCATCCGTCATCCTGAGCTGCTTTGAGATCTGAGAAGATCTTGCAGAAGATCTTAAGTGGAAGATCCTGTTCCATCACAAGAACCCCCTGAGAGACAGATGAGGAAACTAAGGCAGAGAGCAGTTAGTGACCAAGGTCACACCACCAGGAAGTGTCAGCGGCAGGATTAGAACTCAGATCTTCCTGACTCCATCTCATTCTCCATCTCGCTGCCTAACTGCCCTCATTCCTTCAAGCTATAGGGAAATCACTGAAGGAAGTGTTTTGATCAGGGCAGTGACATTACCAGAGCAGTGTCTCAGAGTATTGACTTGGTATTTATGTGGAGGGATGAAAGCCTGTAATGGATCGGCAGTAAAGATGGTTTTTATTTTTCTTTGTTTCCTGGGGCTATTGGGGACCAGACAGCTGAGGACTCTGGGAGCCACAGTCTCTCCCTCAGAAATGACAGCTCCAAATGCGCTCGGACTCCCCTCTTCCTTTTCTTCTTTCCCCTTCCCCTTCCAAAAACCTGGTTGGAACTGTTCCTTCCAGGACTTCATGAAAACTGGAGGTGTGAGGCTCCCCCTCCTCTCCACGGCCCTTGACCACTTCGAGGTGCCTTCTGGGTGCTGCAGCTTGGGTAGGGTTGGATGCATTTGAGTTTGGGGAAGACAATCCATGCAGGAGTGGGGTGGGGTAGGAGGGGAGGGGGCTGAAGAATAGACCTGAGTCCGCAGTTGCCGCCTCAGAAGATGTCCCTGGGGGAAGGTGAGTGAGAGGCTGGTTTGGGGAGTGGAGTCATTCTGGCTGATCTGGGAGGCCAAGGCGGGGGTACACTGCCCACTTGTCAACAGCCCGGGAGCAGGAGGATGAAAATCACCGCAGGCCTAACTGAATTTGGCTTCCCCCTCTCCCTCCTTTGCAGATAAGGAAGCCAAGGCCCAGGGAGGGTTTGCTGCGGGTCAGCTGGCTCTGGGACCCAAGCTCTGGCTGTCTGCCTTTCAATCCACTGAACATTAGCTTTCCCCAGGGCTGTGTGGTGGATCTGGCACTGGGCTGAGAGTCAGGAAGTCCTGAGATTAACTCTTAGCAGCTGTTTGACTGTGGGCGAGTCACCTGCCCTCTCTGGTGCCAACCCTTGCAGGTGGTGGCGAGGCCTCTGTGCGCCAGGGTAGGTAAGGCACTCGGCAGATTTGGAACCACTTCAGAAATGTCAGTGCTGGGCATGGTGCCAGGGAGATGAAGACCGATATGGAACAGGAGCTTTGGCCTCCTTGGGGAGCAGGCTGAGCTTCCCCAAATGGGCAGAGCTAGAGATTCCAGGCTGCCCTCTGTCTCTCTGGCCTTCAATTTGGTGGGGGGGGGGACATGGAGCTTCATAGGAGTTGCCTCCTTGCCAAGGATGTAGTAGCCCTTTTACAAATATTATCTCATTTGATCCTCACAAAACAACCCTAGGAGGTGGGTGCTATTATTACCCCCATTTTGCAGATGAGAAAACTGAGGCAAATAGAGGTTAAGTGGCTTGCACAGTCTTGAGCAGCTGGTAAGTGACTGAGGTCAGATCTGTCTCACCTTTTCTAACTTGAGCAGTTCATGGTTTTAGGCTCTGGCTCCTTTGGCCCCAGAGGTGAGTATTTGGGTCCTTCTTCATCTTCTGGGTTGTGGTCTCACCATGCTGCTGTTGTGGTTTGGAGGCCAGCTGTGGACTAATTAGTAAATGAGCATTGAGTACAGGTGATGAATGCTAAGTATAATTATAGCTTGCCTGGATCTAGACAGATGGAGACTTTTGGAACTGAAAGGAACCTTCTAGACCCTCTCATTTTACAGAAGGGGAGACTGAGGCATGGAGCAAGGAGATGACTTGCTCAAGATTATTCAGCCAGGGCAAGTGGCACGTGCAGGACGCCCGACTCAGTCTTCTGCCTGCAAAAAGGGGGAAACCCTGCTCTAACCACCATGGAGGGAGAGCAAGTAATGGGGCTTGGTTTATGTTCTCGGGGAGCTTTCAGGATAGTAAGGAAGACAGGAAACAGAGGAAATGACATGAGAATATTAGCAGAACCGGGCCAGCAAGTACAAGATCATATAGTTCGGGGAGGTTCCTGGTGTGTGTGTTTTCTCCCCCATCAGATCAGGGGCTCCCTGGGTGGTGCGTCTCCCGTCAGTCAGCCTAAGATCACTCAAGGGTTGATGTGCCGCCTTTCCCATCGGGTCAGTGAGTCAGTCTCTGGCTTTCATACATGCTAAAACGAAGAGTACTTTTTTCCCTCTTTGGATATCTTCTGAGGCTAATTGGCCTCGGACTGCAAGGGTGGGTAGGGATTTAGGTCTGCTCTCAGGGAGAGCTCCTGAACTAGAAAGGACAGGCTGTGGGGGGTGTGGGTGGGAAGGGTGGGAAGAAACTCGGTTCTTGGGGATGCTTCCTGTCTGTGTCAGGATGGGTGCAGCCCTGCCTGTGGGGAGCAGGGGCTGGATGACACAGCCAGAGGACCTTGGCATTCCTCTTTGCCGCCTCCACCTGGCCGGCAGTCTTGTTATCACCTGCCTGGGCATCCTCATGGAGCTCTCGGCTTTAGAACTGGCCTTTTCACTCTTGACTCACCCCATCAATTGTTCTGTTCTTTCCTTTTTATGTCTGTTGATAGGGTGACCCCCGTGGCCTTCCTGGGCCTGGCTCTGACTCTTTCCCTTCCTTCTGGCTGGGCCAGAAGGGCCACTGTGGTATAGTAGAAGCAGCAACCTTGGGTTCAGGGTCTACTACCTGCACTTGAAAACCTTTCCTGCCTGAGGCAGGCAGAGAAAAGCCCACCTGGAACCTTCAGGGTCTGAGATTAGAACTGGCCCCTTATAATTGGATCTCTTCACTTTAGGAAGAGGCAATTGAATTTCAGGGAGCGACATGTGCTGGGTGGGAGGGCACATGCTGGGTGAGAAGCTGCATACATGGTGGCATGGGCTTTAAAGACGCCTGCCAGGCCCAGCCCTGAGGTTTGAATATAAGCTCTCTGACGACAGGGACTCCATAAATTCATCTATCTTTAAAACTCCAGCACCTAGAACAGGGCCTGGTACGTAGAAGGAGGTCAGTCAATGTTTGCTGAAGCATGTTGAGTAGAGCACGTGGTGCCACATACCTTCCCTGCATTTTCAAATCTCTTACTTTTATTGTCTTCTGAGGTGGGGAGGGTAAGTATAATTATACTCATTTTATAGATGGAAATACTGAGGCCTGGTAGGTGCAGTGACTCAGACTCAGATTTATAGAATCTATTGGGCAGCTTGGCCTAGGGGAGAGAGAACCAGATGGAGTCAGGAGGTCCTGACTCTGAGACTTCCTGGCTGTGTGAGCCTGGACCAGTCACTTGATCCCAAAGCCCCAGGAACCTTTCTCATACTAGAAGGTGCAGAGGAGGTGTTCATCTCCATGGAGAATGGGAGTCCCCTGAATCAGTTACCTCACAGGTCCAGTGTCTGGGTGGAAGTGAATCGAACCCTGTCCTCAGGGGATTATGTTCTGTGGGGCAGACAATATGAACCCGTGGTAGAACTTTCCAAGCTTGTGTTGGTCTGATCGGTCACAGTCGGACGCATTGTACCTGGACCCCTACATAGGACATTTTGGTTCTTTTCAGGCCTGCAGGACACCAACTAGCCAAGCAACCCATCTGTTTAGAAGTGAAAATCTCTCCACCGGTGGTGGTGTCAAACTCACCTAGAAATGGCAGTCACCACACCACACCTGAGGATTTTTGTGGGGCACTTGTTGACTTAGTTTTAAAATATAATGTTATCTATGTTTTCAAATTTATTTTCAATAAATTCAATTCAATAAACATTTATAAAGTGCCTACTGTGTGCTAGGACCTGTGCTAAGTTCTGGGCATACAGATAAGAAAAAGAGACAGTCCCTGTCCTCAAGGAGCTTACAGTCGACTAGGGGAAGATGACACTCAAGTTAAATTTGAATCTGGTCCCCGCATCAGCCTTGGGCAGTGTGGCAGGCTGCGGGCCATATGTGAGGCTGCTCTGGTCCACACTGTTTGTCCAAAATAGATTGTCCTTTTTGGAGGGAGGACGCTAGCCGCTTGGGGCATTAGGATGGGCTACACACAGGTGACTGTCCTTAGTTTGAAATGAATGGATGGAATGAAAGGGAATGAGGGATTCTGGGGGTGGCCTAACCAGGGCTGAGCAAATGTGGCTTTGGTCTTGGTCCTGGCATCTGAAAAGGGTGGAGGGGCAGGTTCTTGCCCCTCATCTTGCCTCATGGTCCTTGTCCTCGGCCTTTCTGTGTTGGCAACTCTACCCAGAGTCCCCTTGGTGGGCCCCTCTCTCACAGGGTTCACCTTCTCTGCCAGCCCCTCACGTCTCTCGTCCCAGAGCATCTTCACTGTCACTGAGCTGGTGACTCAGAAGGGATCAGCCTGCGTAGCTAAGGGTCGTGTAGGCCAGTGGGAAGAGCACTGTATCTGGCCTGGCGTTCCAGCTCTCCTTCTGACTAGCTGTGTGACCTTGGGAAAGTCACCTTACTTCTCTGGGCCCTCATTTCCTCCTCTGTGAAGTGAAGGGGTTGGGGTCTGAAGTCCCTTCTGGCTCTGATGCTGTGATCTTGAGATATAATCCTTCTTGCCTGGATCTCAGTTTTCTTATCTGTAAACTAAGGGGAATTAAAAAAAATTCAAACGTTTGATTTACTTTGTC